TACACAGTGTGTCCTTAAGGAAATTATTCCATTCAAGTACCCGAGGTTATGGAATATATCCTCCCAGGATAGAACGATTTAACTCACCGGAGTGTTGGTACCAAAAACGCCGATGATCAGCGAACCACTCGATGGCAGCAAAAACACATTGGAATTTTAGTGCAGAAGAAGAAAAGATAATCAGAAAATTTCGTAAGTAAATGTTCTGGGATTTGAAGGTCTATTTATAGCCAACTTGGTGATGTTTCTGAAGAGGTTTGCATCCTTTCAGAATAGTCATGACTGTTGGAACAGGTGTGACCCTCTGAAGAGGTTTGCAACCTTTCAGAACAATCATGGCTGTTGGAACAGGTGTGACCCTCTGAAGAGGTTTGCAACTTTTCAGAATAGTCATGGCTGTTGGAACAGGTGTGACACTATTTCAAGAACAGCCATGGCTGTTGGAAATTTTTGCGGGAAATTTAAAACGAATTTAAATTAATCCGGGAAAGAAAAACAGGCTAGACCGGACCGGGTCGCGGGTCATCCCTCCATTTCTTTTCCCACCATTTTCCATTCACATCTCTTTTGTTATTATTTATTAAATAACAAACCCAACAATAACAATAGTTAAATATATGTATTTTTGGCCGAACATCAACTTCCAAACCGTTGAAATTCGAAACCGCGAAATTTTGAATTCGAAAACTTTATAATTTCTAAACCCATAAACTTCGAAACACATAAACCTCTGAACTCATAACTTTGAACTTGTAAAATTTCAAACCTGTAAACCGCAGGATGAAAAAAGTAAAAATGAAAATATATAAAAAAAAAGAGGGGAGAGGGGAGGGGGCAGTGAGGTAGGGGGAGGGGGGAGGGATAGTGGTGCGGGGTGGTGGTGCAGAAGTTTGAAAATTCAAAAAAAGNTGGGGTGGGGTGGGTCGGGTAGTAAAGTGGGTGGTGACGGAATAAAAAATCTTTTTGGAGATAGGGCATGAGATGGGGTTTGGTGGGGGTGTGAGATGGGGTGAGATGGGTTGGTCTGGGTTGGAAATAGGATGAGGAAACTTGAGAAGGGGGTTTGGAAAATGTTTTCTCTCTCTTGATAAGGAAACATTTTCCTTAATATCAAACACATCCTTGGTCTTCTCGTCTTTCTTTATTCATAACTGGAGGTTCATGGGCAAGCACGTATATTGAAACTAGTTAGCTTTAAATTGAATGTAATTGCATTTTTAAAATATAAAAATCACAAAAATACACTAATTATTTTCTTTGTATTTTTAGTTAGTTACTCAATTAAAGATAAGTTTGATAATCAGTTGATTATTGGATAAAATAGATTAGTGGTTTAATTGTGCAAAGGGTTTAATTTGGATGTTTAAATAAGTGGTTAATTTTGAAATTAAAACAAAGAAGAAGAAGAGGGCCGTTTAGCTTTAAAGTCGGGCTTGGGCCAGCAATTGGGCGGCCCAATTACTTCACAAACCCACCCAATCCCACGTCTATACCCAGTCCAGTAGTTTTGGACCTCAGGTCGTCCAAACGACGTAGTTGCCAGGAATATATGTCCCTCCTAATATCACAAAACCGTAAAAATCTGATCTTTACATTTTTTCCTTCAATTCTCTCAATAGCTCCACCGTATTTAGAAATTTAGGGCGGCCGGAAATCGTTTCCGCGGCCTTCCGCCTCAACTCCTTTGGTGGCTCCACCTTCTACCGCCGCCGGAAAAATTCTAAATGGCTCCAAAATATCACCAAACAATCCCTACCCTCTCCTCATGCCTCTCTCACCTTCAATTTCATCAAAAAATCCCCAGAATGCTACGATTAGTAATCTCAGATCCCTTTTTTGATTTTTTCTCAAATCCGGTTCAGTTTAGGTTGGAACCAGCATCAATCTAACGCTCTCAATGACAACTATCGATTGATGCCTGTTTTGGATTATTCCACGGAGCCGAAGGACGGTCAAACCGCCGTTGACCGACCGGCTTCCTCTGAAACTCATCTTTCACGGCCTGCAATTGCTATTGTTATATGTAGCAGTGGCCGAAATGGAGAATTCCGGCCAGTGCTCGTATACCAATAAGTTTTGGTTGCCGGAGTTTCGTTTGCTTGCTGGATTCTGCTTTCACTCTTCCCAGCCTTGAGTGGGTAATATCTCTTTCCCCCCTTTCGTTTTTTTTAATTGTTTTCAATTGTGCATGCTTTACTGGTCTGGACGATTGTTTAGGGTGAAATTTCTAGTACTCTGTTGGAAGAGGTTTGGTGGTAGTTAAAATGGGTGGGCCTGTTAGCTTAGAGAACTCGTGGGCTTTGAGCCCAGACCAACTCGTGGGCCTACTGCCAGAAATCTGGTGAAATAGTACAAATGGTAAAATAAGAGTAGTAATTGAGTGAAATAGTACAAATGGTAAAATAAGAGTAGTAATTGAGTTAAAAAGGAGAGTTAATTTCTGAAAACTGAAATGAACCCCCTGATAATTTCTTTTAGAGTTCAGCTAAATTATTTCTGAATTTCAGATTCAAAAGCTATAGTCTGTTTTGTTATTTAAACTGACCCTAAGACTCATTTCTCTCTTGTGCTGCTAGGGTTACCATTTCTCTCTTGTGCTGCCTCCAGGTATCTTCTTCTTCCTTCTTTTTTCTTCTCTTTTCTTTTTCACCTTTTTTTTTCTTTCTTCTTCATACGTCATTAGGATTCTGTAGGACTTTACTGTTTAAAGTTGTTTTTTGTGTAATCCACTGTTCTAATCCCAAAGGCCCTATATAAGTTTGTGGTTAGTATAATGATTTGATTCATGATTTTGGATGTTATCAATTAGGAACTAATATTAACATTGTTTGATTGAATCTGTGTTCGTTTAAGATTTGACAAGTCATGAACTGTGATCTGACTTCTTTGTGTGAGCTTATGGACCTTTGCTATTCCAAGTTTTTGGGCATGTTTGTTGCTCGAGACAAGCCCATGTGAGTGATTTGAGTTAGATGAAGTCTGCCTTTATGCCTGGCCCACATCTTAGGCCAATACCTGCAAGGGTTGGCCATTTCAAGAAGAAACCAGAAGGCCTTGGGCCTTATTCAGAGTATGCTCACTTGATCTGTTGGAGGTCTTAACGTGGCCTTTTAATGGTTTACTGGTTGGAGTTTCCTTTAAGAATTCCTTTTTGATAGTAGTTGCTATTTATGCACCTAACTGTATAGTTCCATTTCAATTCGAGAATTATGTTCAGTTTAGTATTAGTTTTCACAGCTCCCTCATGAACTCAATATTTGTTTTTGAAATGTTTTGAGTTGTAATACTATTTTTGCCATAGTATTGCGCTCTAAACTATTTCAAGCATAATTGCTGTAGTTGAAGTCCACATTTCTTGAATATCATATAACTTGATGATAAATTCGTATATGCATTTGTTCTGTTTTTTTTCTTCTTCTTTTCCTCTGTTCTCTTTGTCTTGTCAATCTCCATTTCCTTAGAATTACGTTCATAATATCAGGGTTCTTTTAGATTGTACCAAAGGCTTGTTACACCAGTCTCTCGGTCTAGCCTCGGTCTAGCCTGAATCATTTCCTAATCATGTTGTTTTTTTTTGGTTTATAATGATTTATCTTTTTTCATGAAATGTTGTATTTGTCTTCTTAGATTGATAACATGGAGCAACTGAAGCTTATAGTGGAACAAATGTTGTTTCAACTCAAACAAGGTTTAGTTGGTCAATCCAGTGCTAATGTGATTGAAACGATCGGACTGTTGGAACAACTTAAGTCACTTCTGCTTGCTACAGGTACTTTTTTTTTCATTTATTTGTTAAAACTAGTCCTATTGGGAAAAAAGTGTTTATTTCTAATTCCTATTTAGATTTACTTATATTTTTCACCTTTTTACAGTTTTGCACCCTAGTGCCCTGGCTGCTCCCTACCCCCAGATGTCCCAGGTGGCTGCTCCCTACCCCCAGATGTCCCAGGTGGCTGCTCCCTACCCCCCCAGATGTTCCAGGTGGCTGCTCCCTACCCCCAGATGTCCCAGGTGGCTGCTCCCTACGCCCAGATGTCCCAGGTGGCTGCGGCCCGCCCCCAGATGTCCCAGATGGCTCCCCGCCCCCAGATGGCTGTGGCTGCTCCCCCACCTATATGACAGACGAATCGTTGCTTTCACCTTTAAACATTGTCCCAACTGTGCCCAGAACAGATGTAATCCGGTTCCTTGGAGTGCGGTGAGAGACATCAACCCTAGGCAAGTAGTACCAGTACGTGGGTTGGTCAACGTCACTGGCAATGGTTGATGAGCAAACTCAGACAAATTCACTATGCTGTCAGGGGGACTTCCCTTCCTCAGAGTTTCGTATTCTGAACCTACAATTTCAAGAAAGATCAGTTGCCACTCTTTCGTAAGCTCTATGGTAATCCAGTAGACCGGGTGAGCAAACCCGGCCAACGGGAGAGGTGGCCATTGTAGGTTCAGAATACGAAACTCTGAGGAAGGGAAGTCCCCCTGACAGCATAGTGAATTTGTCTGAGTTTGCTCATCAACCATTGCCAGTGACGTTGACCAACCCACGTACTGGTACTACTTGCCTAGGGTTGATGTCTCTCACCGCACTCCAAGGAACCGGATTACATCTGTTCTGGGCACAGTTGGGACAATTTTTAAAGGTGAAAGCAACGATTCGTCTGTCATATCAATGGCATGTGTGTGAAGGGTTTGGGGCTAAGTACGAGCTTTTGATTGTGATTGAGGATCACGGGTATGTAATATTTTTAGTTCTTTTAGTTTATGAATGAACGTGTATCTGATGATTTCTTCTAATTTATTTGATCCTTGTCTTGCGCAGTGGCTAGCTACCCATTGATGTGGAGGTTGAGGTGGAGCTCGGGATGGAGCTTATTATGCACCGTAGTTTTCATACTTTTGCAAAACTGAACATGGACCAAACCTTATAAATATGGACGATGAAGTTGTGTTTATATTTTCATTTGATTTATTTCCTCGACAATCTAAAACTCTGAATTCAATTAATTTACAAATGGGTAGGTGAGGATGAGTAGTTTTGTTTTTGTGGGTAATTATGTCATTCACCCATAGTATAGTGAGAGAGTTTCAGTATTTGTTACAACGTGCATTGGTCTGGAATCATTTGGATACAGTCACTATCGGGCCCAATTCTTCCAAGCCCGTTTAGCAGTTTATACGCAAGGTGTCGTGCTATCTCAAAAATGCTTTCATGCTTTGGGCTTCAACTTAAGCCCCTTTGTGTTTCATACAGGATTTGCTAGAAATTTAGTGCAAATAGTTAATCCAACATGATCAGTAATGCTATTATTCAATTTGTAGCCAAGTAGATTTTAAAATCGAAAGGAGAAATGGCTTTCGAACAATGCTTTAGTATCCAAACGCAGTCTCAATTAATAGATTAGATAATTCTTCCAACTTCAAATGAGTTCTTTCACTTAACCTTTTTAAGATTGTCAACGAATCCTCTTTGCTTCAGAAAGTGAGGTAGGAGCATGAATCCATTTTGGGTTGTATGATATCTCAGTCAGCTAAATTATATTAGAACTTTATAATTAGAAGAATGGTACTGTAACTAAACATCAATGCGATTGATAAATTCAATTACCAACAGCTTATTCTCCCTCCTAAAGTTAAAAAGCTTCAATCAGTAACAAATTTTTATATGGTTCAATATGTCAAAACTTGTCTTATATGCTCAAGGAGTCTTCCTTGCCTACTTTGTGTTAGAAATACAACAATAGAAAACGATATTAAGAAGACTTTCCTTAAAGAAGTTATGGCCCGTATATAAATTTTGAAAAAAATACACACAATCTTCTTCAGGATACAACAAGCCACAAAGATACTTGCAGATTTTTCTGATACTGTTTGTAGGGAAATTCGTGTTTTATTTATAGAGCAAACTCAGGCCTTTTCCGAAAAGACACTTTATTTCACTAACAAATGTATCTGTTTATTTGAATTTTAAATTCAAATAAAACAAATTTTACTGTTATAGAAATAAAAATAAAATTATTAATTTAATAACCGGCCCGGCCCAAGCCCCAAGTATTTAGTATTAATATATATTTATTTATATATAAACAAATATTTGCACACACACTTAATAATGTGTATTCTTAAATAAATACATAAAATGGACAAGAATTTAAAAAGCCCATAAAAGAGCTTTACATCACCGATGTGGGACTTTCCCACTTCCCTTACTTTATAACAAACTACAACTAAGTCTTTTAATCCCCCACTAGTTTGTTATATTTTTTATAATATCACGCATACCGAAAAGTATCCTGTTTAGATTTGAACTTTTCATTAGTGTAAACACTTTAAAGTTCTGACGAAGTTATTGGTATCTTAAAGATTTGAACTACAACTCCTTGTGCCAAAACCGAAAATATCACACACGTAATACTATTTCAGTAACTCAGAAAACCCAGTATATGCTTAGCGCGTTTACGGCTCTGTGCTCATCCTGATTTCATGAATAATTACAAAATTAACCCTTTAAATTTTGCTTGAAGCGGCACCACTTTAGTATTCATATAGGTAAAATTAGATACAATGTCCCTGTTACTATAGATATTTACTAATTTTATTAAGATTTAACTCAACCTCTTCGAGTACAGTTTGCACTACAAAGTTTGTTATTTTGCCCCTGTTATTCCAGGCATTCAACAACTTATTGGCTCCTCAAATAACAGTATGTAGTACATTTGAATTAAGTCTCTTAAAGGAGATCAGTGCTTAAACAACACAAAGCAACTTGTAATTACCTCATTGAACTTATTTTGTTAGAGTGTATACTAACTCAACAGGTTCCCGTTGCTTGTGTTTAATTCAAGGGTTTTAGCCTCATTCCTTCACAAGTTTGTTGTACTACATCTCTTGTCAATGCTTTAGTAAATGGATCGGCCAAATTCTTATTCGATTTCACATACATAATAGTTATAGTCCCATCTGTGACTAATTCTCTTATATAAGCATGTCTCAAGCTTATATGTCTTGATTTCCCATTATATATTTTATTATGAGTCACACACATGGTAGTCTCACTATCACAAAATACAGAAATGGCTGGCATGGGTTGTGGCCACAACTTTATATCTAATAACATGTTACTCAACCATTCTGCTTCTTTCCCAGCAGCTGCTAATGCTATAAATTCAGATTCTATAGTAGAATGAGAAATATAAGTTTGTTTCTTGGATGCCCAACTAATGGCACCTCCTCCTAAAGTAAATATCCATCCTGAAGTGTATTTATTATCATTAATACTAGTAATCCAACTTGCATCAGAATATCCCTCTAAAACAATGGGGAAACCATTATAGCAAATGCCCAAATATTTTGTATATTTTAAATATCCAAGTACTCTAATTATTGCTTTCCAATGATCATTACTTGGATTACTAGTAAACCTTGAAAGTTTACAAACAACAAATGCTATGTCAGGTCTGGTACAATGCATTGCATACATCATAATACCTATTGCACTTGCATACTCTAATTGAGTTATTGCTCTTCCAGTATTTTCAGTTAACTTGATACTGGAGTCATAAGGAGTATTGAACTCTTTTATGCCTAAATGACTGAACTTAGCAAGGATTTTATCAATATAATGCGACTTTGATAAAGTCATTCTTTTGTTCTCTCTTTTCACCTTTATTCCTAGAATAGTATCTACTTCATTTAAGTCTTTCATCTTAAAAATTGAAGTTAGATACTTCTTGGTTTCGGTAATACCAAGCAAATATGTACCAAAAATTAGCATGTCATCAACATATAGACAAATGATTACTTCGTATTTTTTTGTGAACATGGAGTAAATACATTTGTCAACATGATTATGTATGAATCCATTTTATAGTACATCAGTATCAAACCTTTCATGCCATTGTTTAGGTGCTTGTTTCAAACTATAGAGAGACTTTATCAACTTACATACTTTCTTCTCATTTCCTGGAAGAACAAAACCTTCAGGTTGCTGCATATAAATCTCTTCACTAAGGTTTCCGTTTAAAAAGGCCGTTTTAACATCCATTTGATGCACATACAAGTTATATATAGAAGACAACGATAAAATCACTCTAATGGATGTTATTCTTGCTACATGAGCGTAAGTATCAAAATAGTCTATGCCTTCTTTTTGAGTGAAACCTTTAGCTACTAGTCTAGCTTTGAAGGTTTGGATAGAACCGTCTGTATTATATTTCCTCCGAAAGACCCATTTGCAGCCTATGAGTTTTGATCCATTTGGAAGATCAACTAAAACCCAAGTATTATTGGACATTATTGAATTCATTTCATCATTAATAGCCTCTTTCCAGAAGGCAACATCTCGAGAAGCCATAGCTTCTTGAAATGTCTTTGGGTCTTCTTCGACATTTAATAAGATATGAATTTGATTACAGACATTTTTTCTATTTCCTTCTACAAGAAATACTAAGGACTGTGAAGAGATAAAATCAGAACCAAGACATTTTTCTTTCCTTATTCTTTGACTCTTTCTCGGTTCTATTTGTAAGTTGTCACTTTTCTTTTCACTTGTACTAATTTCTGAATGTGACGATGCATTATTATCACTTTCATTTGGTTAAGTCATTTTCTCATCAACAGTGTTATCTATAAATTTATCTTCAATAAATTCAACATGAATAGATTCTATTATAACATTAGATTCTAGATCCAATAATCTATATGCCTTTGAATTTTGTGCATATCCAACGAAAATACTTTTAATTCCTTTAGGACCTAGTTTTATTCTTTGATGATCATGAACTCTATAGAATGATATACACCCCCACACTTTAAAATAATCTAAATTATGTTTTCTATTATTCCAAAGTTCATATGGTGAAACATGTAAGCTTTTTGAAGGCACCTTATTTAATATGTGACAAGCTGTTAAAAGTGCTTCACCCCATAAATTATGTGGTAAGTGTGCATTCATTAACATAGCATTAATCATATCAACTAAAGTTCAATTTTTTCTTTCAGCCAAACCATTTTGTTGTGGTGTATAAGGATCACTTGTTTGATGTATCAAACCATTCTCTTCGCAGAACTTATTAAATTCAGAGGAAAAATATTCCCCACCTCTATCCCTACGGAGAATCTTAATCTTAGTATTCTTTTGATTTTCCACAACAGATTTATATTCTTTAAACTTCTGAAATGCTTCATCTTTTGTTCTAAGCAAGTAAACATATGTGAATCTAGAATAATCATCTATAAAAGTAATAAAATATCTTTTGCCTCCTCTGGTTAACTTTCTATCACATATATCATAATGTATTAAGTGTAACAATTCACTAAATCTTTCAGTTTTACAAAAAGACTTAGTCATTTTTGCTTGTATACATATTTCACATTTTTTCACATTATCATGCTTGCAAGAAATATATCCATTTTTGGACATATAATTTAACGAACCAAAATTTAAATGTCCTAATCTAGCATGCCATAAAGAAGAATTGGACTCAACGATATAAGCAGAAACATAATTTATTGCATTAATACTGAGTTTGAACATGCCATCACAAGTTTAGCCCTTTCCAACAAATAAACCATTCTTAGATACTATTACATGATCAGATTCTATGACTATCTTGAAGCCTCTCTTAGACAACAAACTAGCAGACATCAAGTTCTTCTTCATGTCGGGAACATGGTACACATTTAGCAATGTTAGCTTCTGCACAGAAGTGAAATTGATCTCAACACTTCCTTTTCCTGCAACGTCTGTAGTCATATGATTTCCCATGAGAACTTTCTCGGGTTCCTTCACTTTTGCATAAGTCTTGAACATATTTTTCTCATAACAGACATGAACGGTGGCACCCGAATCCAACCATCAGTCTTGACACTTAATAGCAGCAGCAGCCATGTTTAATTCTGTAACCATAGTATATGGTACTACAAAAATCATCGCAACCAAGCCTTGTGAAGAACTTTCAACTGTGTTTGCTTTTGCTTTCTCAAACCTTCCGGAATTTCCAGAATTTCCAGAATTTCCATGGTTAAAATTAATCCTTACTTTCTTAAACTTGCAATCACGAATCTTGTGGCCTTTCTTTCCACAATGATGACATTTCAAAG